TGGGGCCACCAGGGCCTGGACCCACGCTGCGTACAAAGGCAAAGAAGCATCATCTGTATGGCTTCCTCTTTCCCCTTCCTGTTCCTCCCCTGTACCCCTCCGTTGGCCTTTGCTTCTTCTTTCTCCTCTTCCACCTCGCCTCCCTTCTCCCATCTTCCACCATTCTCTCATCTCCCTTTTCCTCTTCTTCAAAATAACACATGCAACTTGCTGACTTGCTCAGGGGTTTGTTGGAGCAAAGGCATTAGCACAACTTTATGAAACCTTGCTCATTCTGAAGGCTCTTCCTTATATAGAGAAAAGCTTAAAATGGAGACCACAGCCCTTTGAAGCCACAGAAGATCCCACTCCGGGGCTGTGACATCTGCAGACATTCAAGCTGGAAAGGACTTCCCAGTCTCCTATGCAGCACTTTGTCCCACTGATGGGGGCTTGGGTGCAGATGAGGGCTGGGTGTGTGGGTGGCTGATAGGAGTGGCGGGTGAGATACAAGGTTGGCGGTGGCTCTGCCCTAATCTTTGATAAACACAGTTGTCAGGCTGATCTACTGCCCACTCTTGGAAGTGTCAGTCTTCCCTCCTGTGCTGTGTCTTGACTGACAAACAGCCCATTGTTTGCCGTTAAGGCATCTTCACCATACAGTGGTTGGTGTCCAGTTCGGGGCTGTGGCTGGGCCTGCCTCTTCTCCCCTGGAATGACTGCTGCTTCACACCAGCGAGCTCACAGTGTGCTGAGAGCCTGTTCCACTGCAGAGAGGGGCTCCCCCTAATGTGGGTGGGGCTGTCATGGCGCAGTCCCCCTGTTTTCTGGGCAGACTCTGGGAAGCCCTTTCCAGCTCGAATGTCTGCAGACGTCACAGCCCCAGAGTGGGATCTTCTGTGGCTTCAAGGGGCTGTGGTCTCCATTTTAAGCATTATTTTTTTCTGCCCTTCTTTCTTTTCTCTTCTTTCTCTCTTTAACTCCTTCCTTTTCTTTTTCTTTCTCTGTTCTCTGTTCTCTCTCTTTCCTCCATTTTTCCTTAAACCTACCATGGGACCCATGGGGCTTGAAGCCCAAGAGCCCACCCTGCAGATCCAGGAGGGCACAGCATGCTCCTCCAACAGCCAGTGGCCATGAGCTTTGGGGAGGAGCTGGTCAGTGTGCCGAGCCCCTGACATTGGCACTGAGTCTTGGCAGTTGTTGATGACCTACTAGGTGGTACCATCACTCCTGCATCCTACAGGTGAGATGTGAGGGCCACACAGGTGAAGAACCTTGCTGAGGCTCACACAGCACTGTTAGGGCTTTCCAACTCCAGTGCTTAAGCTTAGAGCCCCAAGCAGGCCACCTCCAACAAGAAGGCCCAGTCTCTTGTCGGTTTGGCCTTTCACTCACATCGTCGACCTGAACTTTCTGGATCTGAGGACCTCTCAGGCCCTAGGAGTGCTGTGTGTGTGTGCATGGCCTTGGCCAGCCATCCCTGGGGAGATCACACCTACAGGACAACTCGGCAGTTAGGAGGATGTTCCTGGTGACCTGACCTGTCTCTCTGCAGCCACACTATGTCAGTTTTCTGGGACTGTCCTCACTAAGTCCACACACCGGGGATTTAAACAAGTCATTTATGGTCTCACAATTGTGGAGTTAAGGTGTTGGCAAGGTTGGCTTCTTCTGGAGGGCCTGAGGGACAGACCTCCCCACAGCTCTCCTAGCTCCTGGTGGCTCCCGGCAGCGCTCAGTGCTTCACGGCTGCCTCCTCAGCGCCCGCCTGCCTCCCTGGCCACAGGGCACTCTCCCTGTGTGTCTCTGCTTCTCCAAACACCTCAGCCATTGGTTCAAGGCTCTCCCTCATCCAGTATGACTTCATCTTCTTTTTAAAAAACTTTTTATCTTAAAATACTGTAATGATAGGTCTGCAGGATGTTGCAGAGACAGAACATAGGAGAGAGGTCTGGGTGACCCCCACAGTTTGTCCTGACCGTTACTTCTTGCAGAGCATAACTCGAAACCAAGACTCGCACACTGACGCAGGGTGTGTAGGTCTTCGTGGTTTTGTCATATGTCACTATCACTGTAGTTGGGATGCAGAATCACCCCTAACCACAGAGACTTCCCTTATGATGTCCCCTGTATGGTCACAATGCTCTCCTGTCCCCACCACCCATCTTCCCTCATGACCAGCAACCTGCCCTCCCTGTCTATACCTGTCATTTCAAGACTGTTACATGAAAAGAATGTTATGGTCTGTGAGCCTTTGAGACTAGACTTCTTTATTCCATGTGATACCCTTCAGAACCACCTGTGGGGTTGTGTGCTCTGACTCTCGTTCCTCATAGGATTCCAAGGCGTGACCTGTCAGTTACCTGCTGAGGGACATGTTGGTCCTGTTTGACCAGTTACCTACTGAGGGACACCTATTGAGGACATGTAGGTTATTTCCAATTTGAGGCTATTCACACACACACACAAAAAAAAAAAACCTGCTACGAAAAATCATGTACAGGTTTTTGTGTGAAATGCATAAGTTTGCATTTCTTGGGGATAAATGCCCAATGTGATTGCTGGGTCATGTGGTGCATGTATTTTATTTAGTTTTTCAAGAAATGGACATTCTTGTGTAGCTATATAAATTTTCATTCCTACAAGCAATGAATAAAATATCCAGTTTCACCTTATCTTCATCAATATCTTCGTATGATCCCACTTTAATTTGATAACGTCTGCAAGACCCACCTTCCAAGTTGGATCACATCCATGGGTTCCAAGAACTGGGAGCTGAGAGTGTTCTTCTGAGGAACACAATTTGAAACTCCAGGGCATCTTCTTGCTTGAGTTGGGGTGGGTCTGGCTTCAGAGCTTTTCCTTCTTAGAAGAGCTTACTTTGGAGTTGTAGCCAGATTAGAAGTCCCTTGGTTATTCAGTTTGGTCCCCAGAGATGGGTGAACAAGTTCGTGTCATCTGAAGGGACTTTGTTGAGTCTTTCTGAACTAAACTCAGATCACCAAAGTTTCAAAGATGTGATAATTATGAATACTGTCCAGAGACAGAAAGGCAAGGTATGTCCCTATCAAGGGTGTGTGTGTGTGTGTGTGTGTGTGTGTGTACGCACGTGTACGAGTTTACGGCTCCAGTTCTAAGAAGGGAAAGGAAAGCATTATGGAAGCTGGGTTGTGCGTTAATAGAGTGGGCAGAGTCTGAGCTGCTCTGCACTCCTGCAGCTGGGGGAGGTGCTTCAGATCTGTGTCATATGGGGGCGTGGTTGGCAGTGGTAGCCCAAGGCCACACTGAGGAGGGTAGGGAGAGGACATTGATGTTCTTCATGTCCCTCCCCACTGCCCAAGCAGGCCTTCCCTAAGTGGCTCCCTACATTTGGATAAGTAACTTCCATCCTTTATCCCCTTGTTGAAGTCCGGTTCCATTCATTTTTTTCTTGTCTATGCTCCTGGTCCCGTGGGTGTAGAAGACCCCAGTGAGATGGCATGTTGTCTGACCCTCGTCTGCACAGCGCCATGAACTCTGAAAGGCAGAGCAACACAGGGCTTGAGAGAGCAGAGTTGTGGCTTAGATATTAGACCCCCAGGACCCATTCACAGGCTGAGCGGCCCTCCTCTCCCCTCCCCCCTCCCAGACTCTTCTGTGTAGACTGGGAGAGACTGATTTTTGAAGCCAAGACATACAGAAAGTGCATGGTTCCTAATCCTACAGCTCAGGACCTTCCCATAAACTCATAAAGGGGCACACCCCACAGGGGGGAATGGAACCTACCAACCCCCCAGAGTCCCCACCAGGCACCACACCTGCCTCACCCCAGCCAAGAGTACCCCAGTCCTACTTCTAGTTTTATCTTTTTTTTTAAAGAGAGAAAGAGAGAGAGAATTTTTAATATTTATTTTTTTAGTATTTGGCGGACACAACATCTTTGTTTGTATGTGGTGCTGAGGATCGAACCCGGCCGCACGCATGCCAGGCGAGCGCGCTACGGCTTGAGCCACATCCCCAGCCCCGACTTCTAGTTTTATCTTACCTGGTCTTGAACTTTATTTAGATGGAGCACAGACTGCCTCCCTGGGGTTTGGGTTCTTGGGCTTATCCTCGCATTTCAGCCCTCGGTTATGGCCATTCTCCTCACCCAGCAGCTCAGTGGCCAACGTACCATGATTTCATGACCCATTTTACTGCTGGTGGACATTTGTGTTATTTCCAGTTCTGGGCTTTTATGAATGAAGCTGCCATAAGCATTTTTGCATAGTTTTTTTTTTTTTTGTGGATAGGGATGTGGTCCTTTAAAGAGTGGGATTGCTGAGTTACAGAAAACTCCACTTTCCAGAACCTGCCCATCATTCCCACGAACTCAGAGTGCACTCTCCAGTGTCATGAGGGTTCAAGTTAGTTGTGGAAAGTGCTCTAGACTGTTCTTGTCAGTCAGAAGTTGTCCCTAAAACACATCTACAGATGTAACAAAGGCACAATCTTTGGTTAAACCCAGGTGCGAGTATCCCAGTGTGTAATGGACTTGACATTACCCTATTGCTTGTTCATTCAGGCTGGTCATGTTGATTTATTACTCCATATCATCTTGCGATGATTGACCCTCCTTAGGGCTGTATTCTTTTTTTCCAGTGGTGGGGATGGAACACAGGACGCTGCGTGTGCTCACCACTGAGCCCACCCTCAGCCTACTGTTTTCATCTTTTGAAACATTTGCTCTGCTAAGTTTTCAGGGAAGCTTGAATTGGATCAAGGGATGTGGACTGCAGGAACCATTGTTCTTAGGGAAGATTGCTGAGGAGGGGAGACCAAGGGGAGGCTCTCGAGCCATGGCCCAGGGGAGGGGGTGTGAACAGGTGGTGTCTGGGTCTCAGAGAGCAGGGTCTTGTGCAGGGCAGAGGATAGGGTGAAATGGAGGATGGTTTTTATACATGGTGGTTTGTGTTAGGGCAACTAGACATTTAGTCCCTTAAAGGGGAAACTGGGTAATTGAAGGTTAATGCCTAAAACATTAAATGAGGAAGGAGAGAGCCTCAGGTGCAAAGATTGATTTTATTTGTTGTTCCCCCATTACCAGCTGATTCAAGCCAAGGAGGAGGAGGGGTGAGGTGGGGAGGGGGAGGAGGACTGCAGCTGGGGTGGGTCCCTCGTGGGGAGAGGGCCCAGGCCTGCGGCGGGAGGGTGCGGCCTCTGACTCTAGCACTCGTTCCTTCTGACCGTCTTCTCAATGGGCGCAGGCAGGCTGCTGTGGCTGACCTCGCAGGTGTAGGTGTTGTGATTGTTGTACTCTGTGCTGGTCATCGACAGGGTGCTGCTGAGGCTGTACGTGCTGTCCGTGGGGTTCTGCTCCGTGAAGCTGTTCTGGATATTGCTGTTGTGATAGGAGCCGTCCACCTTCCACTTCACGTTAATGTCTCTGGGGTAGAAGTCATTCACAAAGCACACGACCGTGCCCCCTCCGGACTGCAACTGCTCCGAAGATGGTGGGAAGATGGAGACACTTGGTCTAGCCACGTCCCCTGGGGAAGGAAGCACAGAGCTGACTAAGTCCCAGGAAGGTCTCAGCTTGGGTGCGTGCAGGTGGGCGGCTGCAGAGAGGCAGCAGAGCCAGGAAGCACCGTAAGGTGTCCAGGGTTTGGTGTTACTCCTTTGCTCCCTGCTGCCCCTTTAAAAAGTGCTAAATTGAGTTTGAACTCTTTGAAGCCATTCTGAGGCCTTTCAACTGTGTCCTCTGCCACTTCCAAAAGCTCAGGGCTTTGGGCCAAGAAAACAAGGCACTTCATCTGACCCCAAGGGTCATCAGGGCAAGACTCCACCCCTCCATGTAGAGGAAGGCCCTGTGCAGCCCCGGTCTGGTGGGCCTCAGCTGGGTGGCATGTCCCTCTGGAGACCTGCAGGCAGATCTGCCGTCCCTCATGAAGGCCTGAAAGTGAGACTGGGCCCTGCCTGATGGTCTGCAACCACACGAAGCAGTTCTTAGCCAGACCTCGAGGTGTCAACTGTCACCCTGGCCACCTGTCTGGGGGACCTGACCAGCTTCAGTTTTGACCTCTAGCAGCTGTCAGGTGTCCTCCTGGAAATCCCCTCAGTGGGGATGCAAGCCCAGCAAAATAGTAAAAACGAAAAATGAAAATCAAGAGTTCTTGGCTGGGAGAAGTCAACAGATATGTGAGCAGCTTTAATTTTTTTTTTTAAATAAAGCTAACCCCAATGTTAACCAACATAAGATAAATGAACTGTTATTATTTTTTCCTTTTTAAACCTTCATTACTATTTTCTCACAAAATGATTGTATTAAAATAGTCTCAGTGTCAAAATAATGTGATTTCTGAAAAATAAGCAGAGTAATACATTCTGTGGAGATCCTCCTGGGCCAATTCAAATTTTCCATCTAAATATTTCCATTTAAAATATTTAATAATTACTGTATTTGATGTGGAAATTATTTAAAGATTTTGCATTAGGCTTTAATAGAGGTTTTTTTAAAGGCTCCCAAATAGTTTCAAAGTAACTTAAAATAGTTAAATAAATAGTTCTAAAATGCATTAAAAGGTTTCAAAGGAGCCCTAAAATAGTCCTGTCCTGCATAGAACAAAGTAATCCTTCTTAAGCACAGATTTGAAAGCAGTGGGACTACAGAAAAACAAGTCATTATGATGTTAAGCCAGATTATTTTTTTTATCACAATATTTACAGTATTGAAAAATGTCTGTTAACTTTTTATCAATCACATTTATATAAAATTAGTTACAACTCAAACATAATTCTACCCAAGCAGTTAAGTTTATTAAAAACATGTCCCAGACTTTTTTTTCCTACCAGTTAATACATTGCAATTGTATTCATGTGAACTCAGAGCGAATTCACCAAGTCCTGAGGGGTCAGATTGCTGGCAACAAACTCGGTTTTTACTCCTGTGGATTTTACCCTGAAAGAGTTATGCAGACTCTATTTCTTTCTTTTGGGTTGAGCTTTTGTAAATAGATTAGATAAAATAATGATATATGACTGAAAAAAATCTTTTTTTTACAGCCTCATTGTGAGGACATAATAATGGATTTTAATATAATTTTATTCCTGAAAACTCTAATAAATCAGTTTTCTCTATACTGGTGTTCTGCCCACCCTGTTTCTGCCCTCTCTATGTTAGTGGCATCATCTGCATCATTGTGTACCAGGAAAAGTGGTCACAGCAGAGGTCATCCAGCTAACTCAGGTTTCCGTGGCCTTTAGCGGCCAGGTGAACTGCCACGTGAGTGGCCATGGGAGTACTCAGTGCCAGAAAGGGCGCCACGGGACCTACAGACCACGCCAGCAAGGCCACGCGGTGTGAGAATATGGACTCGTGATAACTAAGGTAGTAAAATAACATGCTCTGTAAAATATTTCCTATAAACCATGGACATTTAAAAAATGTAATTATTAATTTCCTTCTTTTAAACACATTTTTAAAACACAGTTTTAGGGGTCAATTGTCTTCTCACCATTATGATAACAGATCACCTCAAATTTACTCTAGTATAGAAATTAAATTTTGACAAAGGAGCTATCAGTGAGATCTGTTGAGATCTGATTCCTGCAGAATCTCTTGGTTTGGCATTTAGCACTCATATTACATTCTACAAGGGACAATGCTGATGATTCTGTTCAACATGACAAACAGGCTTAATTTTCTAACTTAAGTGATTTTTTGGGCCTGCTATTCATTTCAGAGTTGCCTTATAAAATAATTTATCAGGCAAAAAAGAAAACAGACTAGGAAGTCCATTTCCCAACTTTTCCATATCACAATGTGCAATGACCGAAACCCATACAACATCTGACAAAACTTAATAAAAATCAGAAATTGACTTTTCTGTCTACCCTGTTTTACCCCCACTTTGAGTCACTTGTTTTAACCCTTTTAAGTATTTTTGTTTCCAAATCTACTTTTGGAGGTTACAACTGATGACAACCTCCTACTTCAGCTTCTACAAGTCAGGGCCAAGGGGAATTGCACCCAAGTTCCAGAAGGCAACAGAGAAATCACTTACGTTTTATCTCCAATCATGTCCCCCGGCCAAAGGTGATCTACTACATTAACTAAATCACATTCCCCTCAGCAAAACCCCCTCCTCTTTGAGGTGAACAGACTTTCAGCCCCCAACTCAATTGGAAGAAACCTGTTTTGTTCAGAACTGACCTCCACTTACACTCCAAACATGAAAACCCCGCGATTTTACAATTCCATGAGAAAAAACAGTGGAAAAGGCACTTACGTTTTATCTCCAACTTGGTCCCGCCACCGAACGTGAGCCACAGTGCCAACTCCAGCTTGCCCCCCTTTACAAAAACCCCGCCCTGGCTGCCAGTCCCACCAGACAGGCTGGTTCCCAGAAAGACCCAGCCATTTCTCTCTCCTCCTAACTGAACCCCTCATCTATTTGCTTTTAAATTGGCTATTTTCTGGTTTTCTTCCATTGACTTCTCTGTCACCAGGAATGGTTCAGTTCACCAAAATATCACAAAATCACACAAATGTTACAACACGGCCCAAACGTCACGAATAGTGAGCAAAATGGTACTCACGTTTGATTTCCAGTTTGGTCCCTTCACCGAACGTGAATCACAATGACTCGATTTGCCTTGTTCCCCTACAAAAAGCCCCCCTAGAGGGGCAGCCACCCTTCTTCCCCATTTTTATTTTGACTTAGAAATCCTATAAATTAGGACCAGCCACCTCCTCTGAACCTAATCTGGGGATGAAATCTCTCATGTCCCCAACAACCAACTAACAAAACCACACAAAAAGGAACAAAGCAAGGCAATTAGACAGAAGAGAAGAATCGGTTGAAAAAGATACTCACGTTTGATCTCCAGCTTGGTGCCGGCGCCGAACGTGTACCACAGTGACTGCTCTGAACCACCCTCCTGTACAAAAACTGAGTCTCCCTCCCTGACAACTGAGTGAGGCTCTAGAACCTTCTAGCATGCCCCCCATGAGTGTTTGAGGCTGTTACCTAGTTTTTCTCACTCAATGACTTAATCTTGCTCTTCACACAAAAATGTGCCTTTGATTTTCAAGTTTGCTTAGAGATCCCAGAGTCACCTTTCCCTGGAGGGTGCCAGAGCCAGGTTGCAGAGACTCAGTTCATACACACAGAGACCACGAGACATGGACAACAGAAGGAAAACCAGCGATCTACTCACGTTTTATTTCCAACTTGGTCCCGGAGCCGAACGTCCACCACAGTGATAGCTCTCCATTGCCTTGGCTTACAAAAACCCTCCTCACCCAGGAGGAACTGAGCCAGCTGCTGAGGCCTGACCCTGTTTCAGCAGGTGTGGAAGCCCTGGGCTCCTCTGATAGATGCTTGCTTTCTTATGTGAGATCTAAAATCCTAGAAGTCAATGCATTTTATTCTAAGGATGAATGATTCCCTTCTTTAGCAGCCAACTACATCTGGACTGCTTATTAAATTTATGCATTTAAAAAATAAATTGAAAGTAAACTGTAAAGAAAAACATTTATTTATTTATTTATTTATTCATTTTAAAAAGTAGCTATTTATTTGTATTTTCTCCTGGGCTTGGGAATGATAAACTTCATTGTGTTGTAATTATGGAACTCATTATCTTGTCTTGGTTAATGATAATTAAAGAATGCATTCTTAATTTTGTCTTGCTATGATGTTGTTTCAAAACAGGTAGATTAAATACCTCAAATCAAGGCCCATATCTTGACATGTGTTTTGGAAATGAGCTGAAGTGAAGCAGGACTGATGAGCAGAGTAGAGCCGTGGACCTTACTTGATGGAGTGGTCTGCTGTCACAGGACAGGCAGAGCTCAAGTGTCACTGAGCTAACCAGGTGTTGGACCTAGTAGGGCTGCCCAGGGTCTTGGTGTCCCATCATGTCCCCATCATCTCCCCTTGAAGGACACTGAAGACTTTTTTATTTTTAGTTGTAGATGTATACAATATCATTATTTTATTTATTCATTCTTATATGGAGCTGAGAATCGAACCCAGCACCTCACACATGCAAGGCAAGTGCTACCACTGAGCCACAACTCCACTGAAGACTTTTGACAGCCTTGCTTCCCTCTCAACTTGTGTTCCCTACTTCCACACTTGGCTCCCACCACCCTTAACTGCTTACAGTTCTCATATTTTTATAAAACATTCCCTCTGCTTGGAAACACCTTTGCCCACCTGGTCAGCTTATAGACAGCTAGTTTTCTTTGATTCAGCTCAAGAGAGACCTTCTTCAGACTATTCCCAAGTGGGTGATCTGAAGTGGCAGAGACAGGTCACGAGGCCTAGAATGCCTACCTGCTCTACCTGCTGTCAGATTCGATTTTCCCTACAAGACTGTAAGCTGTTGGATATTTTATTTGCCTTGTATTTGGGAGATCTGGTCCAGTATCTGTACTTGGCAAATGCTCAACAAACATTTGCAGAATAAATGAAAAAAAATTGAAATTCAATTATAGATCAGAGATGATCAATTACAGTAGACAAGGATTAATACCGACCACTACAGTAGTTAAATTTTATAGGAGAAATTGTAAGTGCAATTTGGAGATTAGAGGTAGGTCTATTTGATTCTGTTACTGAGAGATTTGCTAGTTGCTTTGAATAGCAGAATCAGTAATGGATCTCACCAGAAGATGAGGAAAGAGAAGAATCAAGTTGGAGGTAGAGAGAAGAGAAACTGGCAAGTGGAAATTAAGTGTGCAAAATTGTCAGTGGAGACATAGCCAACATGGGTCCTAACGAGGCTAGAAAGTGGTCTTCTCTGCAAAGCTACAAGCCCCATCAATCATAAAGGTTGATGTTTATTGAGCATCTGCAAAGGACCAGGATATGGAACATGGATTGCCATATTTAATTATCCCCAAGACTTCATAAGCTACAAATCAATATCCCTTCTTATTTTGATGGTGGGAAAACTTGAGTGCAGGGAGGTCAACTGGCCTGAGGCAGAGCTGGGATCTGGACTGGCAGCTGGGCACTTCACTACATATCCCGCACATTAGACCGTGGGAGTGAAGTCACTCCACGCGTGACAGAGAATCCTGAGGTTGGAGGAGGAAAACTTAGACTATCCTAGGGTTGGAAATGAGTGGGTAAGTGTGCCCATCAGGAATACAAGATTCTGCATCAAAATACTGTCTAAAAGGCAAAATGAATGAATAAATAAATAAATAAAAAGTGAATGTAACTGAAATCTCCATTGCCAATTTTGGTGGAGCTTTACAATGGAGCACAGGGCAGTCAGTGAGAGAGGAGGTGAGTTTCCACCCAGTCGCAGGGAGAGTCTGTGAAGATGCAGGCCACTGAGGAGTCCCCGTGGTGTGGTATAATGGTCCCACTCACAGGAAGTATGTATGTCAATTCTTACAGACCATACTCAGTGTTCCCTGAGGCTAAGGAGAAGTAATGTCTCTTTCTCCTCTTCTGTGTGTCACAGGTGATCTGCTTTTAGAAATCATGTGGAGGCATTCATTCCTTCACCTTAGGTCTTTGGAAACAGAGAAGCTGCACTCTGAAAAGAAGGTGAACTCAGGCCACACCTGCCATCCCAGCAGCTCAGGAGGCTGAGGCAGGAGGGCTGCAAATTCAAAGCCAGCTACAGCAATTTAGGCCCTAAGCAATTCAGCAAGACCCTTTCCTTAATAAAAATATAAAAAAGGGCTGGGAATGTTGCTCAGTAGTTAAGCATCTCTGGGTTCAATTCCTGATACAAAAAAAAAAAAAGTAAAAAAATGAACTCCGAGGCTGCAGGAGAGTGTTCTCAATACTAATGCAATGCACAGATAGAATGTCAAAAATGATGAGCACACATACATGAACTTTTGTTTTTTTGTCAATTAAATCTTTTCCTTTAGTTTTTTTAGACTGAGAGTGAAGAAAAGGTGGGAGCATCTCTGATTCTATACAGAGGGTGACCTTTTACAAGTGTCCAGGGTGAAGCTGGAGCATGGGTGTGGAAAAGATGGCCCACTGTCCAAGGGGCACATCTTGCAGACTTCATGTGAACAAGGCCACCCGGGGGCATATACCTCTTGTGTGTATATACACATACAGATACATAATGGATCACCGAGAAGTGGTTAAAATATGTGTGTAGGGTTCATTGAGACAAAGGATGTCTCAAAAACGCACGTGAGCCTCTGCCAGGATTTATGATTCTGCAAGGTGCCTATGATGATCATTGATAAAATCAGTTAAGTGAGGACAGGCAGAGTGTCCATAAGAGGGCCTGGGAAACTCTTGGACATAAAGCAGGAGTGATGGGGTCAAACCTCTTGGGAAACAATCCTAGAAAACTCATGAAGCTGCTTCCATCTGACCCCAGCAAGGTCAGATTCTCAGAGTAAATTCTAAGCTTCTGGGAGCTGGGGGCTGGGGGTGGGGGTAAGGGAGAGACACAGGCAGGTACTAAATGCGTATCTGTTAATCTCCCTGGACACTCCTGGTGAGTTACCTTCCAAAGCTTCTCAGGTCTCATCTTGGTTTTTATTTGCCATAAATAACCAGCCTACTTGGGGGGTTTCCCCTCACATGGGTCATGCTCAGGGAGTCACCAGCATGTCAGAATCACCAGGGTACAGCCCTGTTCTCTATCAAGTTGGGGACGGCATCTTCCCTACCTGGATCTGGAGTATTCCTGTCTGATGTCCACCTTGACGTCTGGTTTAGTAGGCAGTTTCCTTCCCTTCAGCTTGGCTCCACCTGGACTTGTAAGTCTCATTTTTGTTGGGCCTCAGATGTCCACCAGGAAAGGAGGAGTCCACATACAGTACTGCTTAGAGCTGGATCGATAGTCCTTCTTCCAGCTAGAGTGGCATGAGTAGACATGGGTCCTGGATCCCCAAGATGCAGGGCTGGCCCCGTTGTCTGGAAGGAGGGAGACAGGCTGCTGAAGACAGGTGTTTATCTGCTTCTCCATGTCTGTCGCCACTCATGCCTGAAGAAGGGTATGCTGGCAGAAGCGTAGTCCTTTCTCAGCCATGTGCAAACGTGTGTGCCAAGAAGCCGATCCCACCCTGGGACCTGAAGCACTCCTCTTGCTTTCAGGAGGACATCAGAGCTGCAGGCAGTTCTTGACTTTCCTGAGTGAAAATGAAAGCGTCACAGGGTCAGGCTCTACTGCCCTTGCAGGGGAAGATTTACATATTTTTTGCTGTGGTTTCTGGCTCCTTTTACATGAGTGACCGTGGTATCCTTCAGTCTGTGCCCTGGAGCTTCCTGTCCTGTCCTGCCTGCTGGTGGTATATTGTGTATGGTTGCTTTTGTCATCCTGGTTTTGGCCCAGGTCAATGTGACCTGGCACCCCCATCTCATATCTGGACTGACTCCCCTGGATAGACCATCGGAGGGGAGGGCAGAGTGCTGGCCATTCAGTTTGGAGGTGCTGGGCCTGAGCCAGCCACCCTGAACAAGCAGAGGCCAGTCTCCAGCCACAGGCACTCGAGAACCTAGAACGAGAACCCCAGGGTAGGTGTACGTAGGGTCTGTCACCTGTGAAATGAGGGGTGTTTACAGCTCTCCATTTTTCACCAGGTCAAGCTCAGCCTGAAACTTGGGGAATTCAAGGTACAGGTGTAATGGGGTCCGCTTCATGTTCTGGGTGCAAACCTTGCTGCTTGTTGGCAGGTGGCTTATTTTAAAATGGACCCCTCACCCCGCCTTCTTCTCCTTCTCCATCTTCCTGGCATTTAGGGAAACAAGACCAACACATTTCCTGCCCAGGCTAGTCAGTCATGTCCTTCTCTGCCCACTCTTCAGACCTGGGGACTGGAGCAAGAGCTCTCTAAGGCACCTGATGGACACTAATTACCTGTCTACTGATAGGATTTGAATGCCAGCCCTGGGCTCCCCTCTGAAAAGCCCTGTGTTGCCCCT